GCTCCTGAGCTCTGAGCTTTGTGTGCCCAGGCTTTGCTCCTGCTCCTGCAGCAGGAGGGTGCTGGGCAGGCTCAGCTCTCTGTGCTGGACATGCTGGGGGTTTCTGTGCCTCTGGAAAAGGAAAGGGACACTCCTGTCCTCCCCTGCAGCAGTTTGCAGCTCCCTCGGGCTCCTGCTGCTCGGGGAGGGGAGACCCCTGGGAGTGTGGGGCTCTGTCCCGGCACGGAGCCGGGAGCAGGGAAGGGCTGCTGCTGTCGCCAAGGCTGCCCCGAGGGCCCTGCTGCCCTCCCGCTGCCTCAGGCGGCTCCTGCTCCTGTTCCAGAGGACGAGATCGTGTCCATGGCCGACTCCACCGCCACCATGGATGACATCGAGGGAGAGCTCTTCAGGATCGAGCGCATCCGGGAGATCCTGGTGCGCCGGGAGTCGGAGCTGCGCTACATGTGAGTGTCTGTCTGTCCTTCTGCGCTGTGTGTCTGTCCCCTGTGTCACATGTGAGTGTCTGTCCCTCTGTGTCACATGTGTCTGTCTGTCCCTCTGTGCTGTGTGTCTGTTCCTCTGTGTCACATAAAAAAAGATCTTTTTCTATGGCAGCAGCTTCCACTTCGTTTTGGGTTTTTCTCTTTGGGGATTATTTTCTGGGACCAGGAGAAGCACAGCAGCTCTTGCCTGGTGGATGGGCCAGGTTTTGATAAGGTTTTGCTATCATTAAGGTGATGAAGCTTTCTCTCTGCCAACAACCAGTGTCCAACAAAGCTCGGGGTTGAAGTGGGCTGGCATTTCCCACGGGAGGGCAGGGAACTCTGGGATCCCCACCACAGGCACTGGCTGGGTGTTGCTCTGGGGGTTTGAACCTTTCCTCTCCCAGTTTTCCCCCCAGAGGTTCCATTTGTGTCTCCGCAGGATGGACGACATCCAGCTGTGCAAGGAAATCAGCCGGCTGAAAACAGAGCTCCAGAAACTCCTGGCCCTGCCAGGTGAGGCTCTGGGGATGCTCCTGAGGGTGCTGGGATCCCAAGGGTGCTGGGATCCCTGAAGGTGCTGCTGGGATCTTCAGGGTGCTGGGTTCCCTGACAGTGTTGGGATCTCTGACAGTTCTGGGATCACCAGGGTGCTGGGATCCCTGGCAATGCTGGTCCCTGGCAGTGCTGGGATCCCTGGCAGTGCTGGGCTCTCCAGCCCAGGGCAGGTGTGGCAGGGGAGATGGGTGCAGGCAGGGCCCAGCTGTGCCCAGCTGTGTCCCCAGGCACCTCCTCTGTGCTGTGCCCAGGGACAGCCAGAGGCCAGGGTGGCCCTGCCAGGTGCCACAGTGGCACCGTGCTGGCTGTGCCTGGCAGCCTTCAGCACGCAGGCAGAGCCCAGGTGCTGCTCAGTATTCAGGTGCTGCTTTGGCAGTGCTGATCCCTGGCAGTGCTGGTCCCTTCAATAAACCTGGCTCAGCATCAGGATGGGGCTCAGGGGGGAGGGGAGCATCCTGCCATGGAAACAGGAGCTCCTTGCTCCAGATGGGTGTTTTTAATCCCAACTCCTTCCAGTCCATAAACCAAGACTTTCCCTAAACCACGGCTCAGAGCAGAGACAAATTGTTTTTTTCTGCTACTGCAGAAATGAGCCTGGCTTTAATTCATCTGCTTTGGGCTTTCATTTCTTGCCTTTTCAGCACTCCCAGGCTCAGCTGAGAGCAGAAATCCTGCTCTTTTTGTCTTCATAAGTTGACTCAGAGCAGTCTGTGCTGGAAAAAGCCTGCACATCCCTGCTCTGGTGAGGCAGCCACGGCAGCCTCGGCTTTGGATAAAGACAGGAACACGTCAGTGTTGCTCAGAGCCCAGCCAGGGCTGGGGCTCAGAACGTCCCCAGTCAAGGTGCCTTTCGTGATTCAGATGTCACCAAGGTGCCTCTCATCATTCAGATGTCACCAAGGTGCCTCTCGTGATTCAGATGTGGCCGTGATGGGCTCTGCCAGCAGCAGGAAGGAGCAGCGTTTGTCCCGTGGGACCTTAACCCTGGCAGGTTCTTCCTCATGGTGGTTAATGAACCGCGAGTAGCCGGTGTTAATGAACCCCAGTTAGCGGTGTTAATGAACCCCAATTAGCGGTGCTTGGGCACAGCCTGATGCCCTTGGGGTGGCCCTGTCCCCACAGGCGGGTTTGGGCTGCCCAGACAGCGCCCAGGTGACTCTGCACTAGTTCAGGCGGTGGGAGAGCCCCAGCAGAGCCCCAGCAGAGCTGTCACCTCCTGCCAGGGTGGCTCGATGACATTCCTGCTCGTTTTGCAGCCCGAGCCTGGATCCAGCTGCTCCCTGTGGGCTGGCTTTGCCCCCAAGCTCGGAGCCGAGCAGAGCAGGACTGGCCTTGGCAGGGGGGTGGCTCCTGTAGGGTGTGGAATATGCTCCCTGTGGCTGTGACTGTGCTCCTGTGCTGCAGAGAACCAGAAATCCAACGAGGAGAAGCAGAGGGAAGAGGAGCTGGTGCAGCAGATCCACAAGCTGGTGGAAACGAGGGATTTCCTGGTGGATGACGTGGAGTTTGAGAGGCTCAGGTATTGCTCGTGCTGGGGACAGTGCAATCCATCCTCTGAGCTGTGTCCTGCCTTCCCAGAGCTCCTGGGAGCCCCGCTGCTCCTTTCCCGAGCAGTGACCGAGTTCTTTGTCACAGGGAAAGGGAAGAAGACAAGGAGATGGCCGAGTTCCTGCAGAGCAAGCTCTCCAAAAGCTACCTCCAGAGAGCCAGTGGGTGCTGACGTGTTCATTGCTTGCACTGAACCTCCCTGGCCTTGTCCCCTTTCCCAGGCACTCTGCCTCCACGATTTCCCTGCCTGGGGCTGGGGGAAGGTGGGGAAGGGGAACGGGGGGCACTGCTGCTTGGGGTCACAATGTGGAGCACCTGGAACTGGAGCAAACCTTAGGGACCCGTTTCCTCCTGGCATTTCCCAGCATGGCTGATGAGAACGGGGCTGGGGGGGCTCCCTTAGAGCTGCCAGCCTGCATCTCCCCTTGACCACTGGCTCACACCTCGGGGGGATGCAGGAAGGACACCAGTCCTCTGACGACAGCCACCCCTGCCTTGTCTCTGTCACCTCCCCAGGGTGGTGGGAGGCACCTCCAGCCCTGGGACACCCCAGAGCCCCAGGGCAGTGTCCCCGGGGTGTGGGAGCTGTGACACCCAGGGCAGTGGCACCAGGAGCTGTGACACCCAGGGCAGTGTCCCCAGGAGCTGCGGCTCCTCGGGGCCAGCAGAGCCCCAGGGCAGCTGTGAGCAGCATCCCGGCTGTGCCCTGTCCCCAGGCAGAGCTGGGTTCCTGTTCCTGCAGCTCCTGCCCGAGAGAAGAAGATGACATCGAGGGGACAGCAAACCTCGGCTCCCTACGTGACCAAGACGGGCCTGACCCTGCTCAGGGAGTGCTGTGGCTTCACCTGCTCCATCATGTAGGGCACTGCCAGCGCCTGGCACAGGACACGGCCGTGGTAGGGGCACGTCCTGGGCACCTGGGACGGGCAGGAGGGGCTTCCTTGGTGCTGGCCCTTCCCTGGAGCTGGTTGGTTCTTCCTGGAGAGCCCCACAGGGATGATTTTGGGAGCAGGGGTTGCCCAGCATGCTCCCACCCTTCAGGACAGAGCTGATCTGAATTCCGTGGAGCCAATCCCATCCTGGAGCCGATTCCATCCTGGAGCTGATCCCATCCTGGAGTTGATCCCATCCTGGAGCTGATCCCATCCTGGAGCTGATCCCATCCTGGAGCTGATCCTTCCTATCCTGGAGCCGATCTCATCCTGGAGCTGATCCCGTCCTGGGCCGCTCCAGAGACCCTCCAGGGCTGCTCTGCTCAGTCCCCAGGGATTTGCTTTGTTCCACACACACCAAAGGCTCCTCTCTGTCCTGCCCTCCCAGGGCCTTACTGGGACAGTGACCCAGCCCAAGTTTGATGGGGCTGAGGGGGAGCCAGAGGCCAGGAGAGCCCTGGATTCCAAACTCGCCCCTCTGGAAGCAGCCTGGGCTGGAGGCAGTGCTGGTGCCAGCAGGAGGATGGGCAGGGTGTCTGTGTGTCCCCACTGTGACCCTCAGGCTGCTCCCCGGGCACACAGAACTGCTGGGAGGGCTGGGAGAGGAGCCCAGCCCACAGGAGGGACACAGCTCCACGTGCATCCACCTCAACCCAATAAACGTCTGCTGGAAGCTCCGCAGGTGTTGTCCCTCCTGGGGCCATCTCAGGAGATGGCTCAGCTGTGACACAGCAGGGTGGGCAAAGAGGAGCAGAAAGCTGACCCCAAGAAGTTGGGCTGGCCTTGGGAGCTCCCTGGAACACCCAGAGCAGCTCCTGGAATGCCCAGAGCAGCTCCTGGAACGCCCAGAGCAGCTCCCTGGAACGCCCAGAGCAGCTCCTGCTGCTGCAGCAGGACTCCAGCCCTCCATTTCTGGCTCTGACCCACACCTCACTTTCGGTCCCTCAGTGTCCTCACTGGCCCCTGGGGACAGCTGTGTCCCCAACCATCCCTCACAGGACAGGGGACAGCCGTGTCCCCAGCCATCCCTTACAGGGCAGGGCAGAGCTGCTCCTGTCCCATGAGCTCGTGCCACCTGAGAGGGTGGCACCCACATGGGTGTCAGGGTGGCCATGGGTGGGGACAGCTGAGTCACCTCTCAGGAGGGTGTGGATGACCCTGTCCCTTTGGAAATGTCACGGCTGGGATGAGATGCAGGGGCACAAAGGCCCAGCACGCTCTGGGATGAGTCAGGAGCTGATGGTCCAGAGCAGGCAGCAGCTCCTGGTGGCACCGGCAGTGTCTGTGAGAGCTCAGGGACCCCTGAGAGCCACGCAGGGCTCGCTCCCTCCTGCTTTTCTCTCTTCTGCTTCTGAGCATTTGGGCTCACAGAAGAGCAGGGAAGACCAGCAGGAAATGAGGAGATGCTTTAAAATATTTGCTATTTTTTTCAGTCTGCAATATCTGCAGGGTTCTCTGGCCTCTCCTGTCCCTGCTGCTGCCTCGCGGGCAGGGCAAGCTCTCACAGAGCTCGGCCACGCTCCTTCATGTCCTCCGTGAAGTCCTGGAGGTCGTGGATAAACTGCCGGATCTGGGGTGGCACAGGGAGAGGGGGTCAGGCAGGAATGGGAGCAGGAGGCACAGGGAGCCTGTCCCTCCTGGAGGGCACATGTCCCCAAGCCAAGTGACGGGACAGGAAAGCACGTGCAGCAGCAGGGTGTGCCTCTGTGGGGGAAAGGAACCAAACCCTGGCCAGGGCTGGATCTGCATCCCTGCATCCCAAAACCCTGCATCCTCATATCCCTGCACCCCAAAACACTGTGGGAACGGAACCAAACCCTGGCCAGGGCTGGATCTGGATCCCTGCACTCCATATCCCTGCACCCCAAAACCCTGCATCCCGAAACCCTGCACCCCAAAACCCTGCATCACCATATCCTGCACCCCTGTATCCCAAAACCCTGCATCTCCATATCCCTGCACCCCAAAACCCTGCACCACAAAACCCTGCATCCCGAAACTCTGCATCCCCATATCCCTGTATCCCCACATCCCTGCATCCCAAACCCTTGCACCCCTTCATCCCCGCATCTCCACATCCTTGCACTCCCTGTCCCTGCATGCCTGCATCCCCAAAACGCTGCATCCCCACATCCCTGCACCTTGGAACCCTTCATCCCCATCTCCTGCACCCCCAAACCCTTGCAGCCCTGCACCCCCATCTCCCTGCACCCCCTGTCCGTGCCTGGCCCCACCCTGCTCGCCTGGGGCGGGCCAGGTTTGCCTGGTGTCCCCCCCATTGCCCTGCAGGGACCCCAGGGAAGAAGGGAGGGGGTGCTGGGTCTGGGGGCTCCCCCTGGCCTTGGGGGGCCCTTCCTGCCCCCGAGAGGGGGGCTGTGCCCGCGTTACCATGTCCAGCTGCCTGTGGCTGTCCCCAGCTGCCACCCTGCCCTGCGGCTGCAGCCGCGCGCTGGCGGCCTGGAACAGGCTGTGGATGGCCATGGTGAGGGACCTCAGCTCCACCGCCTTCCTGGCAGCCCTGTCCTGCACCTGTGCCCAGCGATCCTCCTGGGGACACGGGCCACGGCCCGCCACAGCTGCTTCAGCCCCGGAGCCCGGCCGGAGCTCAGCCTCGCCAGGCTGGGAAGGACACGCCGGGCCGGGCTGGGCTGGGCTGGGTTTGGATGGGCCGGGCTGGGCTGGGCTTGGATGGGCTGGGCTGGTCTGGTCCGGTCCAGTCCAGCCCGCTGTGCTGGGAGCAGCCCAGGTTCCAGCCCAGTTGTGCTGCAGTGCCTGCCCTGGCATGCCCACCCTGCCAGCCCTGTGCTGGGACAGCTCCCCCGCAGCACTGCCACTGTCACCCCCAGTCCTGCTGCTTCCAGCCCTTCCTGGTGACAAACCTGCCCCACACCCGGGCTCTCGCTCCTCCATCCGCACAGGGATGGGATGGGATGGGGCATCTCCTCCCACCACAAACTGCTGCTGGGCCCTGCCACCAGCCCCTGGCTGCAGGAGGAGACAGTCCTGGCCCCCCAGGCCTCGGAGAGCCCCCCTGGCCACCCCTCAGCTCCTTACCCAGTGCCGGATGTCACTTTGAGCCTGCTCGAGCGACTCTTTGAGCTGCACCAGCTCATTCCTGCACTGCAGCATCTCAGCCTCCTTCTCTGCCCTGATCTGCTGCTGCAGGCCCTTGCCCTGCTCCATCAGCTGCCGGTGCCACCACTGGGACTGCAGCAGGTCCTTGCGTGTCCTCAGCAGGGCCTTGTAGTAGGTGATGATGTCATCGATGTCATGGAACTGCAGCACAGGTCCTGGGCTCAGTGACACCCTGCCTTGTCCCCCCTGTGGTCAGTGACACCCTACCATGTCACCCCTGGGGTCAGTGACACCCTGTCCCTCCTGGGTCCCTGCTCTGAGCAGGGCCAAGGCTGCCCCTGGAAGGTTTTCCCTTCTCCATGGTCCTGCTGGTCCCTGAGCAATGCCACGTCCCCTGAGTGTGGGGACAGCACGTGACACGCACAGTGCCAGGCCCGGGACCGGCAGTGGCACTGGGGAGGGGTCACAGCTGTGCCCAGGGGAGCCGTGCTGGCATGAAACACAATGCTCCGTGTGCTCAGGCCCTGGCAGGCAGCAGGAGCTCAGGGGATGGAGAGGAGCTGCTGGAGCTGCATGGAGGGATGTCCCAGCATTCTGGAGAGGGGACACAGCTTCCTCACAACTGCCTGGGTCCCAGCCTGGGCACTCTTCACCTGCCCCAAACCATCAGTATGGCCTGGAACAGTGACACCGAGGGGGCCCTGTTCCCCTCAGCGCTGAGCTTTCCCCTTTCTCATGGTTTTTGCTCAGTTTTCTCAATCCTTCATCTGCTCTGGTTCTCCTCTCCTGGCCCTGCTCCCCGTGGCCCACCTTGGTTGCCAGGGAGCCCTTCCCAGCCCACCCAGAGTCCCTGGGTTTGCTCAAGTGTTGAATTCCCTGGCCTTGCCTCATCCCTGGGCTCAGACCCTCCCTGAGCCATGCCCAAGGCTCACCTGTGAATTCTCCACCACCTCATCCAGGTACTTCTTGAACAGGGAGTACTTCAGCAATTTTTTGGAGAGTATCTGGTGCTGTTTCCTCAGGGCTTCCAGTTCCCTCCTAGCCCTCAAAAGCTCACTCTCCTTTTTGGAATTCTCCTCTTTCTCTTCTTTGGCTTTCTTCAGAGCTTGGCTTCGCAGCCTTTCATTCTCCTGGGTAGGTTTTTGCACCCACGCAGCCAGAGGGGGAGGGAGGCACGGGAAGGCAGAGCTGGGTCACTCAGGGCACTGCCAGGAGAGCCCAGCACGGTGGGGCCACCCCCTTCCCTGTCCCGGGGCCACCCCCCTGCACTGTCCCTTTGCCCTGGGCAGCCCTGGGCTGGGGCTGTGCCCTGTCCCATCCAGGGCACAAATCCCTGCTGCTCACAGCTCCGGCCTCAGGGGAGGCCTTGGCCGGGAGGGCTGAGCCAGGGCTGGTCCCAGGGGAGAGGAGCTTGTGAGCAGGGGCAGTGTGCCAGGTGTGCCGGGGTACCAGGTGTGCCAGGAGTACCAGGGGTGTCAGGTGTGCCGGGGGTATCAGGTGTGCCAGGAGTACCAGGGGTATGAGATGTGCCAGGTGTGCCAGGAGTACCAGGTGTGCCAGGGGTTCCAGGGGTATCAGGTGTGCCAGGTGTGCCAGGTGTATGAGATGTGCTAGGTGTATGAAGTGTTCCAGGTGTGCCAGGTGTGCCTGGTGTTCAGGTGTTCCAAGTGTGCCAGGTGTTCCAGGTGTGCCAGGGGTGCCAGGGGTATCAGGAGTACCAGGTGTTCCAGGTGTATCAGGTGTTCCAGGACTGCCAGGTGTGCCAGGTGTACCTTCACAGTCGCCCCAGATGTCACCACGTGGGCTTTCAGCTGGGCCCTCCTGGCGTGCAGGTCCCTCCACTGCTCAGCAAGGCTCTCCATCCTGTCCGTGAAGGCCTGGCAGCCCCGGAGCGAGGGTGACACGGCTGCCACAGCCAGAGCCACCCCTGCCTGCTCCTGCCACCCTCCAGAGACCCCCAACCCCCTCCCAGCCCCCTCCCAGCCCCTCACCTCTTCTGTCTCCTCCACAACTTTCTCCATCAGCCGCACTTCCTTCATCTTCTTCAGCACGCAGATGAACGAGTGCGTGGAGTCCTCCTCTGCCGCCCACAGCTCCCTGCCGCGCGTTTCCCCAGCTCACACGGCATCCTGGCAGCGTGTGGGCAGCACCCAGCCCCACCTGGGACCCCTGGCAGCGTGTGGGCAGCACCCAGCCCCACCTGGGACACCCCTGGCAGTGTGGCCCCCCGGCCCTCCCCTGCAGGGACCCCAGCACAGCTCCAGGGGTGACGGGGAGGGACAGGAGCGGGGAAGGGATGGAGCTTGCCGCGGCAGGGAAGGACAAACGGAGGCACGGGGGGAGGCTGGAAGAGCCCCTGACCTGAGCAGGTGCAGGAGCCGGTCCTTGTACTGCCCCCGGTAATAGCTCACGTCCTCGTGGGCCATCGCTGCCACCGCACGTCCTGCTGCTGGCCTGGGGGCTGCTGTGCCCTGCACCAGCCCCGAGGCCACCCCCGAGCACCGGGACAAGCCCTGTGGCTACTCAGTCACAGAGAGAGGCACTGAGGCTCCTCCAACCATTGTGGAGCTCCGGTGCTGCTCCGGGCACTGTGACAGCTCCAGGGGCTCCTCCACCCATTGTCACAGCTCCAGGGGTTCCTCCACCCATTGTCACAGCTCCAAGGGTTCCTCCCAGCACTGTGACAGCTCCAGGGGCTCCTCCCAGCACTGTGACAGCCCTGTGAACCCCCTGGCATCAGGGGGACTGCCCACTGCATCCAGCACCTGAAATTTTTTCATTCCCTTCTGTTCTTCATTCATCTTCTCTGCTTCTTGCTGTGCCCAGATTTGACCCCCGTGCCCTGCGCTGCCCTGGGGGTTTGGCAGGGTCCCTGGCAGCCCTGTCCCCCTGTCCCCGAGCCCCAGACCCCTTCCCAAAGCCCAGCTGGAGCCCAAGGGGGCCCAGCCCCAGGGAGGGCTGAGCGCTGCTCTGCCCGGGGCTCCCTCCTGGGTCAGGCTGAGCTGGCCCATGTGCCAAGAACCAGCTGATTGGTTTTTAACTGATTTAATTTCTCCCTCAAAAGAGGGCCCGTGACCGAGGCCCACCCAAAAGGAAGGAGTGGGTCAGCTGGGGGAGCCCTGGGATGGGGGAATTGCTGCTTCCCAGGGATTTCACCTCTCCTGCTCCCTGCCAGCCTTGGCCTCCCCCGGCTGAGCCCGGAGCAGGGCACAGGGCTGCAGCAGCTGGAACAGAGGCTTTGTGGTGCTCCAGCCCTTTTGGCAACTGCAGGGAGCAGTTTTGGCTACAAAACCCCCTTTTCTGCCTGTCCCTGCTGCTCCTCCTCCCAGCAGGATGAGTTCCTGGTCCTTCACAGCACCTCCTGGGCATGGTCCCTGTTTAATGAACAACCAACACAAGCCTTGCAACAGTGAGAATATAAAAACCTCCCAAACTGCATTTTCAACATCCCCCAAAATAAATTCTATAGTATTGATATAATAAATTCTAATGCTAAAATATAGTAAAAAATGTAGGTTTATTTGAATATATAATAATATTCAATAGATTATATATGATATAGCTTTATAGACAATGCATAAAATAGATAAAATATCTAGCATAAAAATATCTAAAGAGGCAGATTTGCTGACTTTACAAAACTTTCTGTTTTTTTGCCGCTTTCTGCTTTCTACGCTGTTTTTTTTTTTTTTTTCTTTCGTTCTCTCTTTCTTACCCTCCCCCGAAGATACTGGACCGGCTCCGGACCTGACCTGGGACGTCCAGGACCCCCCGGAGTCTGCGAGAGAAGCTCAGCGCCCTCCACAGCACTGCCTGGTTTTCTTTTCTTTTCTTGTGTTGGGGAGTGTTCTTTTGTTATTTGTTAATAAATAGGTTTTGTTTTCCACTGTGCTCCTCCGAGGAATTCCTTCCCGAACCCGGTATTGGGGGAGGGGTGGTTGGAGGTTTTCTTTTTAGGGGGCTCCCTTTTGGAGATTTCCCCTAATTTGTCCTAAACCAGGACACCCACTTGTTTTAAATCACATCTCCCTCAACCACCCTGAACACCAAAGCAGAGCCTGCCTGCTGCTCCTGGACACATTTCATCGCACAATAAAATGTGAAATAAAATTACTTTCCTCTTCGTCCCCTCAAAATACACACCACAGCCAGCATTTCCAGGTGATCAACCCTTCTGTCAAACACCAGGGTCTTCTTTCCACACCTCTCCTTGTTTCTGTGCAAGATTCCCTATAAATGTGAGTGGCACCCACAAAGTCACCACTCCTGGCTGCTTTTCCTGCCCTTGGAATGGAGTGAGACCCCACAAAGTCACCACTCCTGGCTGCTCTCCTGCCCTTGGAATGGAGTGAGAGCCTGGGAATTCTGCCCCACTGCAGCCCCTGCTCTGACAGCCTGCACAGCTTCTCCCAGGGAGGAAAAGGGGCAGAAGACACTGAAATGGTCATTAAAGCCCCACTGAAGGAAGTGCAGCCGGCCCTGCTCCAGGGGGGCACACAAAGAGCCCAGCCTTTCCCTGGGAATTCCAGCGGCACCTTAATTGGGGCCGGAAGGGGCAGGAGTGCTGTCCCCAGGCAGGGAGCGTCCTGCAGCAGTTGTCACTTGGGATCAGCCCTGAGAGCATTAAAGCACAGCCCTGCAGCCCAGAAACAGCTTCAGAGCAGCTCCCACGGGATGTGGAACTCACCGAGGGCTGACCAGACGGAAAGCAGCTTAATTCCAGGGCAAAGCCCCAGCCCCAGGCCCTGGACAATAAATATGTGATCAGTGGTGCAGGAAGGTTAATGAAAGGAAGGGCTGCTGGCAGGAGCAGCCTGGGCACCGTGGCTGTCACAGCAGGGCTGGATTAGACATGGAAAAGCAGCACAAGGCAGGCAAGTGTCAGCGCTCAGCCCCATCAAACCCCAGGTGCTGATTGTTCTAATGCAGGGCAAAGCTGATGTCAGCTCCAGGCACATTCCAGGGTGGCTCTGCCACCTCCAGAATCCCAAAGCTGGGCCGGGATCCGCCAGGACAGCAGAGGGACCCCGAGCTGGGAACGGCAGCTGAGCCCTCCAGAGCCCGGGGGCTCCGTGCCTGACACCAGCTCCTGCCAGGACCTGCCGGGATCCTTCCAGGATTCCTCTGAGATCCCTCCAAGATCCCTCCAAATTCCTTCCAAGCCCCTTCCCTACAGACCCACTCCCAGCCCAGGCTCAGGCAAGAGAGCAAAGCTGGATTTCCTGGCACAAGATTCAGGCCCTGAGGTGCCTCTGCCTGCACCCCTGAAAAAGGGACAATTGGGAAGGGGTGGGAATCACCCCCCAGGAGGAAATGGCAGAGTCACTTTGCTGTCCATAGCTGGACACCAGCTGAGGAGAAAGGCTGGGCTGTTCTTACCCCTTTCATCCTCTCTCTTCTCCAGGAATTAGCTCATTGTGTGCTTTAAACACATGGAAGAAAAAAAAAAAAAATTATTCCAAGTCTGTGCCCGGCTTGGTTTGTGTGTTATGGACACAGCACCTGTGGGGCTCCCACCAATCCCA